TGCAGACTGTGACAGCAGCCATGAAATTAAAAGACGCCTGCTCCTTGGGAGGAAAACGATGGCGAACCTAAACAGCATGATAAAAAGTAGAGACATCACCCTGCCAACAGAAGTCCGCAATGTCAAAGCAATGGTATTCCCAGTAGTCATGTATGGCTGCAAGAGTTGGAGTATAAGGAAGGCCTAACTATGGTGCTGGAGAAGAGTCTTGGGAGTCCCTTGGACTGCAAGAAGATCAAATCAGTCAATCCTAAAAGAAATCAACCCTGACTGTTCCCTGGAAGGCCAGATAATGAAACTAAAGCTCAAATACTTTGGCCACCCAATGAGAAGGGAGAAGACCTCACTGGAGAAGACCCTGATGCTGGGAAAGATTGAAGGTCAAAGAAGACGGGGACAGCAAAGGATGAGATGGTTAGACAGTGTCATCGATGCAACGAACATGAAATTGAGCAAACTTCAGAGGACGGCGGAAGACAGGAAGGCCTGGCGTGATCTGGTCCATGGGGTCGCGAAGAGTCAGACTCGACTGTGCGACTGAACAACAAAAAGAGAGGCAGGGTGATATGTAGTGATTAATTTCTTTTTAAAAAGCAAAAGAAACCCCTAAAACAAAACCAAAAACCATACTGTTGTACACATGAATACACATGAAGCTGCATTACACTGATTCAGGAGAAAAAAAACCAAGGTGCAAGGTAGGGCAGTTTATTTGACCTTTTAGATCCCAGCACAGTTTGCTATAGGCTTCATCAGGGGATCTAATACAACAAAGTTAAAATAAACACAATTGCAACAATATCATATCAAGCAGAATAAACATACAAAATGATAATTGAAAAACTTTTTTTTTAAAAAAAATTAAAAGTACTTTTAAGATCATTCTTTAATAATAGTTTAAGACACAGTCTGAGCATGGTATAGGTGACCTAACATATTCTCTAGTGTAATACAGAAGAACTAGATAGTTTATAACCTGAAACCTTTTTATAAACTGAAAGAGATAAAAGAACTCAAAGTAAACATTAATACAAGGTTCATACCAGCAAAGCAAACAATGTGGCATACCTTAACAGAAACTTCTTGGTCCCATCCCCCCATTGGTATTCAAAGGCATACTAACTGTGGTTTCATTTCACTATGACTGTAAAATCTGTTGACATGTCAGGCCTGTTCTGGTTCAACTCCTGTAACCCAGTGCCCGTCACCACCTCTCTTTGGGGCAGCAAATTCCAAAATTGTTCCTTTTGCCCAGTGCTGCCATCAAGGTGAGGAGGGGCAGTCCTACAGGACTGGAATCTAAAATTACCTACCTGCACTCCTCTTTCAGTCTGCCCTGAAGCTACGGCCAATCAGTTTCACTGAAGAAACTAGAGCTTTCAGAATACATCTATTTTTATAAACCTCTATCATATCTCAACAGAGATATTAAGAAGAGATTGAATTTATACCCCACTCTTCACTACTTGAAGGAGTCTCAGAGCGGCTTACAAACTCCTTTCCCTTCCCCTCCCCACAACAGACACTCTGTGAGGTAGGTGGGGCTGAGAGAACTCTGACACAAACTGCTCTTTTTCAAGAACAGCTCTTATCAGAACTATGGCTTGCCCAAGGTCATCCAGCCAGGTGCAAGTGGAGGAGTGGGGAATCACACCCGGTTCTCCCAAATTAGAGTCCACACACTCAACCACTACACCAAATATAGACATCTTTTGGTTTCCCTAAACTAAAGAGTCATGAGTCTTCTCCCTGGGGAAGTGCTTCAGCCTTCAGGTGCATGTTTACCCATCAGTAAGTTTCAAACTCTGGTTTACCCTTTTTATGGCAACCAGGACAATACACAATAAATGGGACCACGTGCATATTTATGTAAAAGTATTTCCCTGACCTAGATAGCACAGGCTAGCCTGATCTCATCAGATATCGGAAGCTTTTTAGGATTAGAATGTCTCTTGCCTTGAAAACCCTATGCGTTCACCCTAAATCATCTGTAATTTAACAGCCAAAAGGGGGGGGGTATAATTTTTAGCCCCTTTTCTAATGATACTTGGCATGGAAACTAACTCTTTCATTACTGCTGCCAATTGCGTGTCAACATTTTCAGTGTATTATTCTAGATCTCTTTCCCGAGAGTCACACCACACCACTAGTTCAGATCTGACCCTTTTCATTTATTTATAATGCATTGTTTTAAACTTTTTAATGAACTTTATTGACATCGTGTTGCTCAATCCCACAGCAGAACTAGACCTTCGGGGACTCCTTGCAATCTGCCTGGCCGGGTTTCCCCATCCTGAATAATTTGGTACCATGTGCTTTTCCCCCCTTTCCCTATCTCTTTCTAGCTCAATGTTATCCTGCCCTTGGCTTGGGATGGCATATGTGTGGTTCTCAGTTCCCTATTTAATCCCCACAACAGCCCTGTGAGGTAGGTTTTCCAGAGTGAGTGTGATTGACCAAAGGTCACCCAGCAAAATTTTGGGCAGTCTCGGGATTTGCATCGGGGTCTTCCAGATCCCAGGGAAACGTTCCAATAGCAGCACAGCACTGGCTCCTTCTACATCATTCTGATAACGTACTGCTTGTTGGTATATAATTCCTGCTTCTTTTGCAGACTGCTTGACAGTCTGAACCTTACATGCTGCTGATTTCAGCAAATTAAAACTCTGAAGGTCAGTAAAATCCAAAGAGGAAGGCCTACCTCAGCTGGTTTCTTAACCCTCTGACTTCCTTTCCCTCACATTATTTCTCTCCCCCACCCCATGCCACCGGCCTAACCTACCTCTCAAAGCTGTTGTGAGGATAAACTGGAGGAGAGGGAAATGATGTAGGCCGCTTTGGGGGCACGCCGGGAGAGAAAGGCAGGGTGTAAATGAAGCAAATAAATCAATGCCAACTGTTACTGTTCAGTGGAGTCTCTGTCTTGCAATATGAGGCAAACCCATTTTCTCAGCGGGAGCTTACTCCCAAGAAAGCGTGCATAAGATTGCGGAGTTCGTGCACTGCAGCAAAAAGAAGAGAGGCGGTATTTCAAAGGCTGACAAATAGATTGCAGCCGAAGCCTGCGTTTTACGAGAACGGATATAATAATTTGGCCACTTGGGCCGCTATCACAGAGCTCTTCTGCTCTACCTGCTTTGGGCGCTGCGGCCAGACCGGACAGCTCCCGTGGACGCACCGGAGAGAGGCAGACGGCAAAGCCGGGCCAGCACGAGCAAATCAGGGAAGCCCCTTCTCCTCGTGACGTCCGGCGGCGGCGGCGGCGGCGCGAGAGGGGCCCCCGCCACGCCTCCCCCGAGCTCCTCCGAGGTCAGCGCCCCCGTTGCTCCGCCCTCCCCGCCGGCAGCCAACCAGAGGGGAGGAGGTGCTGGCAGCGGGGGATGCTTATTTGTCCGCGGGCGCCGCCGGGCAGGGGGAGCGCCGGACAGCCGGGAAGCCGGGCGTCGCCGTCCGCCTGGCCGCTCGTTCTCGCGCGGGATCCCGTTAGCTCGGCCCTGCTGGCCACGGCGGGGCTGCTGCTGGCGCTGCTCTGGCTCCTGCGCCGCCGGCCGCCACAGGGGCTCCCGCCCGGCCCGAAACCGTGGCCCCTCCTGGGCAATTTCGCCTTCGCCGTCCTGCCCCACTTCCTGGGGCGCCGCGGGCTGAGCGGCACCGGCAAGGTGTACCCCTACGAGGACGCGGTGCCCGGCGGAGGCCCCCCGCGGCAGACCTCGCCGCACCTGCTGCTCACCAGCCTGGCCAAGATGTACGGCAACATCTTCTGCTTCTTCGTGGGCAGCCGCCCCATCATCATGCTCAGCGACTTCGAGGCCGTCCGCGACGCCCTGGTCAACCAAGCCGAGGTCTTCAGCGACCGGCCCAGCATAGCCCAGGTGACCCTCCTCACCAAGAAGATGGGTAAGAGAGCCTGCGGGCGGCCAGCCCCCAGGGAGCGCAACCGGGCCCCGGCGGGAAGGAAGCTCGTGGGCGCTCGGGGCGCAATAGGCCCTGCTGCAGAAATAGCAGAGGTCGAGCAGAGCACATTGACCTGCAGTGCGCCTGATAGTCAGAATAAACACGGGCCACGCGGTGTTCACTAGTTCAGCACGCTTGGCCTCTGCTCCTTGCGACAGGCTGGCCAAAATAAAAGGGGCCTTCAATCCAAAGAGAGAATGCAACATTCTTGATATGATGCTTGGGATGCTGCCACCAAAAGCTCTTGTGTGCTGTGCGGGCGCACCAATCCCTGTGTGCATGCTGCTAAATAGCACATTTTTTTGTTTTGTTTGAGAACCTGGTTATCTAGGAAGAGGTCAGTTTTATGTGGCAAGATACAATCTGGCCTGGTCCTGGTCTTGGACCACTGTCTGGGGAATGGAGTGACCCCTAGACATACAATACACATCTATCCATCATAGCAGGGTGAAATGAAATTCTGTTTCTTACCAACACTGCCTCTTGTGGAATGGGGGGGGGCTTCTAGCAGAAGATAGGAGAAACACTCATTTCCCAAGTGTAGTTTCCCCCCCAGCTCTGATCTCTAGATTAGAGCAAAGCAGGTTGTTTCATTAATGATGGGAGGCGTGCTGTAGTAGTGATACTGTTCGCTGTACCTGGGGGCTGAAATGGGCACATTGCTAACTTTCTCTTTGCCAGCCTCAGCTGAGTGTATATAAAAAGTGGCAAATAAGTTTAACCAGGGCTTTTTTTGTAGAAAACGTCCAGCAGGGATATTAGCATAATAGGCCACACCCAAAAGCAGAAACTCATTAGCATATTAGGCCACACCCCTGACTGCACTGCTCATTAGCATATTAAGCCGCATTCTCATGTTACCAGAAGTGTGGTCATCCAGCCACACCCACCTTTTGCTTCTTATTCTGTTTACCTTGTTTGTTGTCAAAAACCAGGGCTTTTTTTGTAGCGAACTCCTTTGCATGTTAGGCCACACACCCCTAATGTATCCAGTTCTGATGAGTTTCTGCTGTTGGGTGCAGTGTTCCCTCTAAGCTGAGTTAGTGTGAGCTAGCTCACAGTTTTTTGGCCTCTGGCTCACACATTTTTGTCTCCGCTCAGGAAGGACAGCTCCAGAGCCAACTCATTTATGCAGCAGCCAAATCACTCGCTCACAACTTTAATGCCGGCAGCTCACGAAGTAGAATTTTTGCTCACAAGGCTCCACGGCTTAGAAGGAACATTGGTTGGGTGTGGCCTATTATGCTAATGAGTTCCTGCTGGGTGTGGCCAACTTGGGAGCCAGCTGGAACTCCGTTCCTGTGCGTTCCTGCCCAAAAATAGCCCTGGGTTTAACTATTTTCTCTTATGTGCAAAATTACAGGTAATCTGCTGCAAAAGGAAACATATAGTGTGTACATGTTAAATACCGAGTATAACATGCCACGTCTGTTCTGAAACAAACTTGTGTGCTCTGGCTAAAGCTGAGGTGAAAGTTCTCTTATTGTTCAGGTTTCTTTTTTAAATGGTTGGTTGCTAGTGTGATGCTTTTGCTTATTTTAGAAGCATCCTGAGAAGTTTAAAATAGCAGGGAAGAAGAGCCCTGGATATCTGGGAACTCAACCAGTTCTGACAGAGGAATTAACTTAGGATGTGAAGAAGTGCCACAGATATGTGAAGCTCTGGTGGGGCAGTGGCAGTTTTTTTATTTTAGTATATTGAACTACCACAATATCTGCAGTATGATCCAGGAATATATATATATGTTTTTGCTTTTAAGTTTTTAGTCCTCATGGTTGACGATATTTGCAAGATTTATTAAAAGCAGAAATACCAGAAATAAAACAGAGTAGTGGGAGAGATGCAGAACATTTACCTTTAGAGCATTTTGGTGGTTTTGATCCAAACTATTGTCAGTGTGTGTAATGGTTTGAAAAGGGGTATGTTGGTATTTTTTTAAAGTCAAGTTCCTCCTGTTCGTGCACATAGTTCCTGTGCAGAATTGATAGATGAGAAGACGGTTGTCTCTTATCGCTTGTTCAGGGTTTATATACCCTTCTACAAACATGAACACCACTAGACGGTATCGACACAGCCTGGAGTCAACTGTATCGTGTTACAAAACACTCAGAGGGAAAACGGAGCACATCCCAGCACATCAGCACTAACTAATTTGAATGGGTCTGGTGGTTAGTGCACATTCTGGTGAAGGGTGCTCACCTGTTGGGGAGCCTCCATTCAGCCCCCCGCCCCCACCCGCAGTCATCCAGCAATCCAGTTTGGCCAGATCTGAATTGAGAAGAATGTGATATAAAACAAGTCATTCAATTCTCAATGATAAAACTGTTTATCATGTTCAATTGGAGTAGTGACATCTGTGCTCCAACTTCTGAATTGTGTCTTTTGGCATCAGCTACCTGCATCTCTGTTAACTTATCAGTGCTGGTGTATATACTAATTTTTTTTTTCCAGGTTGGCAGAGACATTTGTGTCTGCCTTACCATCAAAGCGACTTTAACACTAGCAAATTGGCATTACATCTACAAATTGCTTTAAAGTTAGAACATTTTCTGCAGATTTTCCCCCCATAAGCACCCATGAAATAACAAGTTTATGTATTATGCAATTGCTTCTTATAAAAACTAGCCTTAAAGCTATATGATAAGATAACTAAGATTATTATCTATAGTATAGAGTTTATGAACCATTAGCTATCACATTTTCAGACTAATCTGTATTGCCAAAGTAAAGCATTGATGGACTTTGTCGTAAATGTTCAGCTCCATGCTTGGCTTTCTGAGTGGCCTTGGCCAATGCACCCCTTTTCGTGGCCTAACTGTATGTTATGTTCTTCTTGGGCAGAAAAGGGGGAAAAAAACTGAACCTAAAACCTAGAATTCAGAACCTGAAAAGGTTAGTCAAGAATAGAAGAGGGCCAACTCTAAAAATCTAATTATGAAACATACAAAAATATACATGTATTTTATTAAACACAAATTAAAATAACAAATAAGGGTCCATTCATACCTCATATACAAATATAAAAATACAAAGGCTGATGAAATAGACCTATTTTAATTTGTGTTTAATAAATACATGTATATTTTTGTATGTTTCATAATTAGATTTTCAGAGTTGGCCCTCTTCTATTTATGTTCTTGGGCCCCAGCTCTATTGACTGTACACGAAGTGGGAGTTCTGTTCTTGGAAATCAATTCCCAGGTGTATGGGGGCCTAATTAGGACTGGGACCATAGGGAGAGGTGGCCTTCCCCTCTGTGCCATTTTCTTAACCTGAAACAGCCTCAGGGTAGGTCACTATGTGGCATGTTGGAGAAATGTATTTGTACTGTTGGGCTACCAGTAAGTCTCCCCCAAAGGGCAAATAGCAGCTCCCCAGAGCCATTTCAGGTTAGGGAAATGGTGCAGGAGGAAATCTTAAACTCACCATGCTCTGTGGTGCTGATCCAGATTGGGCACATAAATTAAGTCCCAAGGTTGATCAGTACCAAGTAGTACTGTTCTTTCTCATTTGGCTCTGTCCTGCAGTAGTCTGTTGTTGAGTACAATTCTGCTATTGTCAGTTAGTTTCACTGTGCTGCCCCCAGCCAGCGTTTAACTGTAGTTAAGTAGAACTGCCATATATCTTTAAGAGCAGTTGCCCCTGGGAATTGAAGTCTTTAGTTAGCCATCCCAAAGCATCTCTCTGATTGGCTGATTAACAGTCATTTCCTGCACCCAGAGGCGCGGGGATTTGAGTGTACAGCTTTCTTCCGTTCCTTTGTCTACTCTTTAAACAGCAAAGGAGGTCGGAGCATGCAATCTTTTTCACCATGAGCCAGTGAACTGAATTAGATTACAAAGATGTGAATTCACCAGTTATTCAGCTTTGATTGTGTGTAAAGAAATCCAGCCCTTAATAAAAAATGATTTAATTCTACTTTACTCTGGCCGTGCGTTGAATCACGTCCAGAAGGCGCTGTTGACTTAGCGCCAGATGGAACAGTGAAAAAGAGAGATGTTCCCACCCCCCAGTCTAAAGGAAAAGGGGATCAGATTCCCTTCAGCCCTTAAAAGAACGCACAAACCATATCATTGATTGGGTATTTAAGTTTTAAGAATGATCAGTATAATTTCAATTTGGCAAAGACTGTGGATTATTAAATCTATAGACTGGAGCCATGAACAGACAAGTCAGACCTTTCTACAGACCTGACGAAAAGTCTTAGATTTACACAAAAATCTGAAATAATAAAAAAATACAAGGGAACCTTTACCTTTACCTAAAGAATTACAACAAATGCATGTGTATTGTAGGGCTTGGCTGTAGATAGTGGATTATATGATGTGCTGTAGATACTGCCTAGATTTGTATGGTATCAAGATTTTCTCACAGCCCAATGCTGCCATTATATAACAACTTGCTGCAGTTCTCTGTTCAATCCATTTGTAATTCTTGGGCTTTGGAGGCAAAAGTATTGGTGTATTTTGACTTTCTGTTAGTGTTATCTGCATGGTTATTTGAATTTGGGTGTTTCTTGGAATTATGCACGGTCATATTCAGAAACGTCTTGATCTGTACCATGTAATTGTGAGATTACGTTTCAATGATATTTTCATGAAGTTTGCTATCCACCAAGACTACTTAGGATTTATTAGATTTTTATCCATCCCCCCCGAATGGGGCTCACAGTGGCTAACAAAATAACAGTACAATAACAATAATAAAACCATAATTTTAATAAGATCCAATTAAAACAACACACAGCTTTTAGCTTAAGGACTGCATTCAGACAGCACAATAGTACAGAAATGTCTCAACAGCTATGATTTGCTGTGTTGGTTGGCATTCTGGGCATAGCTGTGAACACCAGAGGGGACAGAAACTCAGCAAAGAAATGTCTTTTTTGAGGAAACCCCCCCCCCCCCATTTTTCTAATGGAAAAATTGGGAAATTTTATGGAACACTGAAAAAAATAAACCTTTTTCTATGCTAACTAAGTTCTAAATGATGGATTTTATACTGTTAAAGTAGCAAAATAAGTTTAGGTTTGATAGGAAAATAAATATTGTACATTTTTCCAATTGTCCCAAATGTCTTTTTTTTCCCAAAGGGGCAGATTTTTTTCTCTGGGTTCAAAATTTCCAGAAATTTTACATTCAGTAATCCTGGTGAAACGAGGAAAACAGATCCCACTTACTGTGTTGTGTATCATCGTTTGTACCATCTTGGAGTTTTTACTGATAGATGGAGCTTCAGTCTGAGTAATGTTCTCTGTGTTTGATTTCCATATAGGCTGAGTAGTACTAAAACCCCTGCCTGGTTATGAAGACCACTGGGTGGCCTTGGATAAATGGCCATATTGACCAATAGCATATAGCTGTAATGAAAGTACAGAAAAGCACTGTGTGCATTGAAAGCAGATTGGTGTGTGGTGATAGAGATGGGACAGAGGTGTTATGAGGGAATGTCAGTTTGGTAATTTAGAATTTTGGCTACTGGTACTTTTTAAGCCCAGGTTTGTTATTCTTGAGCTCAGGAGCAGCATCTTTGAGTGACAACAGTGATCCAAGATCTTTCTCCATTTTCTAATCCATACAGGGACTGAATTTATATTTTTTCCATTCAAAGCCTGGTTCTGTCATTGACTCTCCAAAGATTAAATTGAGCATGTGGCTAGTACTTGGAGAAATCTGAGTACCTATTGAGGTGACAGTGTTGTGGAGCACCCACTATTTGCATTTCCTGCTTAACATGCAAAACTGCTATGTCACATGGACAATGGGTCTAAGCCAAATTTACAGTGGACAAGAGGTTAAATGAAGCTTTTCCAGAGCACATGAGCAACTCCATTCAGGATCCCACTCTTCCCCCCCCCCTTTCTTTCAGGTGTGGTGTTTGCACCTTATGGCCCAGTATGGCGAAAACAGCGGAAGTTCTCCCATTCCACTCTCCGCTACTTTGGATTAGGAAAGCACAGCCTGGAGCCAAAAATCATTGAAGAATTCAGGTTTGTGAAGGATGAAATTCTGAAACATGGGGAGAAGCCCTTTAACCCGTTCCCCATTATCAGCTACATGGTGTCCAACATCATCTGCTCCATGGCCTTCGGCAGGCGCTTTGACTATGACGATGTTGAGTTTAAGACCATGCTGAGCCTCATGTCACGGGGTCTGGAGATCACCTTGAACATCCACCTCATTCTGGTGAACATCTGTCCTTGGCTCTACTACCTCCCTTTTGGTCCCTTCCGGGAAATCAGGCAGATTCATTTTGACATCATGGGTTTCCTGAAGAAAATAATTGCACAGCACAGGGAAAACCTGGATGTCCAGAATCCCCAGGACTTCATAGATATGTACCTTCTTCAGGTGGATGAGGAAAAAAAGACCAACAGTGAAAGCAGCTTTAATGAAGACTACCTGTTGTATATCATCGCAGACCTTTTTATTGCAGGCACAGACACCACAACTAACACAGTCCTCTGGTGTCTGCTGTACTTGTCACTTCACCCGAGAGTACAAGGTAAATGATGTCTTTTCAAACCCACATTTATTATTTATTTATTTGGGTCCCCCCCCCCCACACTGAAAGGTAGACCCAAAGCAACTTATAACATCAGAACACACGGACACAACAAATATTACTTGCCATCAATAGACTTAGTCACAAAGCAAATGGGTAGTGGGCAGGGCAGGTGGTAATAGTTCTGCCCTTGATGAAAACTGTATACTCCCCCCACCCCTACCCCCCGTCCTTTCCTGCCAGTGGGATTGTCCTTCAGCCAGTAATGATCAAATCTCCTGTCTCCAGGTAACGCCTTCAATGTGGATTTGTCTGCCATGGAATCGGGGTGGGTAGCTGAGGACTCCAGAACATGTTCTGACTCAAGGAGTATCCTCAGGTCAAGTGGGGCGTTGGCCAGGCTTTGGTGGGCCTGGTCATTCCCTCACATGGACTGAGAATTTACCCAGCATTCCTTTGCTGCTACACATTACAGGAAAAACTGGTAATGGTGGATAAGCCAATTCTCAGGGCTCAGCAAGACACAGTGATTTCTTCTCTTTGAAACAACTTTTTTTTCCTTGTGCAAATGCAGCCTCTAGAATTGCTATATTAAAGAGAAGATGGGTGTGGAGTGAGAGGGGGAAACGCTAACCTTTCCTCCTTTACTATTTTAACATCAGAAAAAGGTTACCCTGAGCTGCTGTTACACCTATAGGAGGGGGGGGAAATATGGATACTTATAGACTTCCCCCAGGAATAGAAATAGCTCAAGGGTGACTTTTCCATAGGGTTGCCAACTTCCAGGTGGTGGCTGGACATCTCCCAGAAATCCAACCGATCTCTAGGCTATAGAGATCAACTCCCCTGAAGAAAATATCAGCTTTGGAAGGTGGACTCTATGGCTGAGGTCCCTCCTCTTCCCAAACGCCGCCCACCTCAGGCTCCAACCAAAAAATCTCCAGGAATTTCCCAACCCAGATCTGGCAACTCTACGTTTCCAGGAAGGAACTGGCATAAGAAAGTTTCCTGTTCTCTCCACATCTTTCCCTCCAATTGATAAAGCAATCCTGGAGGCTGAATTTGCTAAAGGGGGGGGAAAGTTGTTTAAAAGATACACAGAAGAAACCTTAACATGTAACTGAGCCCTCAGAGAGCCTTGTCTGCCATTACTGATCTGTTAATTGAGAAGCCCTTGATAAGCTTTCAAGGAACTCTAGGGTTACTTGGAATACAGTTGGAAAACCACGGCCTTTGTCAGTTCTTACTCGACAGTCTTCATTGTTGCTGTGTCTGCATTGAGCATGTACCCATTTGAATAGCCACGGCTTAAATATTTTTTTTTTTTTTGATAAGCTTTCAAGGAACTCTAGGGTTACTTGGAATACAGTTGGAAAACCACGGCCTTTGTCAGTTCTTACTCGACAGTCTTCATTGTTGCTGTGTCTGCATTGAGCATGTACCCATTTGAATAGCCACGGCTTAAATATTTTTTTTTTTTTTGGTAAACAAATTTTATTTTCAGGAATACAACATGTAAAATTAAATCATTTCATTCTATCAATTGTCTACCCCATTCCCAATTCCTCCCCTCCCTCCATTGGCTTCCCACAATGCTTCCACCCCTGCTCCAAATTGCTTCATATCATCAACAATATCAGTTTCTTATCATTACAATCTAAAGATAACATCATTTGACTTAATATTGGTCTAAACATATTAAGTTTTGTTTCACATCCCAGTTCTTTTCCAGATATATTTTAAAGTCACTCCATTCTTGAAAAAACACGTCGTCTTCTTTGTTGTTCAATTTCTTCGTAATTTTGTCCATCTCTGCCATGAACAGAACTTTTTGTATCCAGTCCTCAATTTCTGGTACTTTCTCTGTTTTCCAAAATTGTGCATAAATCATTCTCGCTGTTGTGATTAAGTACCAGAATAAAGTCTTTTTAGTTGTATTGACTTCTTCCATTTTCAATCCTAAAAGCAGAATTTCCGGTGCCTTTTTAAAAGAGCATTTCAAAATTTTTTGCATTTCATTGTGGACTTTTGTCCAAAAGTCAACTGCTTTCTCACAAGTCCACCACATGTGGTAAAATGAGCCTTCATGGCTTTTACATTTCCAACACTTATTTGACATATTCTGGTTCATATTTGCAATTTTTTTCGGAGTCATGTACCACCTATACATCATTTTATAACAATTCTCTCTAACATTGGTACAAGGCGATATCTTAATAGAATTTTTCCACAAATATTCCCAGGTTTCAATAGCCACTTCCGTATTCATATTTATCGCCCATTTTATCATTTGCCCTTTTACAGTCTCATCTTCAGTATACCATTTTAGTAACACTTTATACATTTTAGAGATATTTTTTCCCCCTTCACTCTCCCAAATCATTTCAATCTCATTTTTTTCCTCTCTAAAACCATAGTTTCTTTTGTCTGATCTAAAAAGGTCAAAAATCTGCATATATTTCAGCCATTCATAATCATATTCAATTTCATTCTGCTTTTTCATTACCCATTCTGTTCCCACTTTTTTAATTAGATCTTTATATGGCAACCAATCTTTATCTCTATGTCTTGAGTAAGATGTTAACACTTCCACTGGTACAATCCACAATGGTCTTACATCACAAAAGTATTTTTTATACCTCATCCATACCACAAATAGTGCTTTTCTTACCACATGAAGCTTAAAAAAGCTATCCATTTTTGTTTTGTCATACCATAAATATGCATGCCAACCAAATCTACAATCATGGCCTTCTAACCCCAGTAACTTATCATTTTCTAATTTCACCCATTGTTCCATCCAGGTTAGACAGACCGCTTCATAATATAGTCTAAGATTTGGTAATTGTAACCCACCTCTATCTTTGGCATCACAAAGAATTTTCATCTTGATTCGCGGTTTCTTGCCTGCCCAAACAAACTTTGATAGTTCTTGTTGCCACTTAAGTAGCAAGTCTGTCTTACTAAGTATTGGTATTGTTTGGAACAGGAACATCAAACGTGGTAGGACATTCATTTTTATGACTGATATTCTTCCCATCAGTGACAAATTCATTTTGTCCCATTTCTTAAAGTCTTGAGTTAACTTAGTCCATAGTTTTCCATAATTGTTCTTATATAAGTCTATATTTCTTGCAGTTAACTCAATACCAAGATATTTAGTCTTTTTTACTACTTCACATTGTACCAGGTCTTGCAGTTCAGCCACGGCTTAAATATTAATTATCCTTCCACAGTCTCTGTCCACACTTCACATCACATGACCACGTTATCCCACATGATCACTCTCTTTAAAAAGTACATCGCAAAATTATTAGAAGCCATCAAAATAGAATAAAATAAAATACATAATAAAATCATATTTCAAAATCATTAAAACAAACACATCATTAAAACAATTAAAAACAGAATTAAAATACATAAGAGACATTAAAGCAACAATTAAAACATTGGGCAGGAAGGAAGGGTCGCTGAGGGAATGCCAAACAAAACAAGAAAGGCTTCACCCTGTGGCAGAAGATGGCAGCAGTAGGCGACAGACGAATCCTCCTGGGTAGAAAGTTCCAGAGTTTTGGTGCCATGACCAAGGCCCTCTCCTGGGTTGCCACCTGCAAATCTCAGAAGGTGGGGGCACCTGAAGGAAGCCTCATAAGATGACCACCATGGTTTAGTAGATTCTTATGGATAGAAGAGGAGATTGAATTTATACCCCGCCCTTCACTACCCAAAGGTGTCTCAGAGCGGCTTACAAACTCCTTTCTCTTCCCCTCCCCACAACAGACACCCTGTGAGGTAGGTGAGGCTGAGAGAACTCTCGACATAAACTGCTCTTTTTCCAGAACAGCTGTGCCAGAGTTATGGCTTGCCCAAGGTCATCCAGCCAGGTGCAAGTGGAGGAGTAGGGAATCAAACCCGGTTCTCCCAGATTAGAGTCCGCGCACTTAACCACTACACCAAACTGGCTGGTCCTTCATATATATGGACTAAATATATATATGAAGGTGGTCCTTCATATATATGGACTAAAATCCTGTCCCTCATTAAGGTAGTGGTGGAAGTGTAAACTCATATACTCCCCCAGCTTATCCTTTATGAAGAAGAAGCAACTGTAGACGTGGTTTATGTTAAGGGGAAAAACCTGCCCTGCCCTTTTGTGACAGATTCATTTCAAGGTTATGAAAACGTTAGTGGAGTTATAACACCAAATAAGACTTTAAAAAAACAAAGCAAGCCCATAGCATTACTGAGCATGCCTGATGTTTAGCTGTTGTTCTTCACAATTGCCTGTACTCAGTGCTGAGGTTATTCTGATGCAGTATTTAACAGGTATAGAGATAGATAAGATATACAAAAGTCACAAGCTTATGTATGCACGCACTTGGGAGGATAGATCAAGATTACTAAAACTGAGAGTGGAATGGGGACCGGATATTCCCTCCTGTTATTGAACAGGGACTTAAGTCTATTCATTTTTAATTGCTGTACCACAATGTTCCAATTTATATGGGATTTGAATAAATTGATGATGTGGCGTCCCTTCTGCCCTTTCAAAAAGGGAAGGGTTGGATGAAGGTTGGAGACTGTCCTCAGCATGAGGACATGTTCCGCTTCCTGAGTGGGAGGTACATTCTCATGGGGCAACTGCCAGCCCCATTGCCTGTTTATGTAGTGGATGTGTGTGGGGGGGTGTCTTTGCCATCCTCCACACCTGCCAAGTCATCTTAAGTATCTCCTGAACATCCATCCTTGAATCAGCATTCCCCTGTTCTGACCAGCGGAGGTAAGATATCACCTCCTCCTCCAACACCAGCATCCCATTGTGGCTGACAGTATTTGCTGTATGCAACATCGCTCGTACAACTTGTGAGGCAGGAGTGGAAGCCGCAGGTAACAGAGAGAGGTGGCAGCACTGTTGCTACATTATTAAGGGGTCTGAACCAGTGTTCCCTCCGAGTTAGTGTGAGCTAGCTCACAATTTTTTAGCCTCCAGCTCACACATTTTTGTCTTAGCTCAAAAAGGATGACTCCAGAGCAAACTTATTTATGCAGTAGCCAAATCGCTCGCTCACAACTTTAATGCCAGTAGCTCGCAAAGGTGAATTTTTGCTCACAAGACTCCACAGCTTAGAAGGAGCATTGGTCTGAACCCCTACATTAGTGGTTTGAGGTATCCTTCCAAACTGTCTATTGGATAAAGTAGCCCAGATCCTAATTATTATAACCTGTTTGTTCCCTTGGCTGGATTCCTGAACTCACGCATATATCAAGCATTCCAGTGAACTGTGAAACATGGTAACGTTGCTGATTTCTGCACCCGGTGGCAAGGTTCGAAGAACCTTGGAGTTCTCCGGAACACTCTCGACCAAGCAAAGTAGTTGTTTGCATGTTTTTGCCTTATGGGTGCAGTTATGCCTTGCACAAGCCGGGGCATAGGAAGGCCAGTTAATGGGAGGGTTAAAAAAAAGGCAGACAGGAACAGCTGAGTCTTCTGACAGACGAAGGAGACAGAATATGAAGTGAGAGCTGTGTGGTCATTTCTGTATGAAGAAGAGGCAGAAGAGTGTTGTGGCTGATGGCAGAGAACAGACCTCTCTGCTAGGGTAGCTGGCCCTTTCTGGCAGGGCTGCTGTGTCTTTAGCAGCTGCTCAGCTGGCGGAAATTTAGCAATCCAGTCACTGTCTCCGCAGTTTAAAAAAAGGCATTCTTTCCAGTTGCTGTGTCTCCATGCCCTGCAAGGCATGGTGCTAAAGTCAATGAATGGCATAACCACCAAAGCTACTCCATTTCCTTCACCATCGTAAATTGGTCCTAAGGCTTGGATCTCTGGGACAACATTCAGAAACATTGAAAGATGGTTGTATAGTAGAGTCAGACACAGTGTATGATCCACAGCCAGGTTTCCATTGTCTCATCTCAACAAAAGCACACATTCTTCTTTTGCAAAAGCAGTAAAATGGCCCTAACTATAAAATCTTTAATATGCAGACTGGCAGACTTAATAATATCTAATAACAAGTAAGACTTGTTTGTTTGGAAGTTTTCTTCCAAGTGTTTTTAGGAATGTGTCTTTATTTCTGACGACCAAAGGAGGGCGGGGCTTTACTTTTAGCTTGTACTTAATTTGTCCAAGCGGTCTGGAGCTCGAGACTTCCTTTGGAGAAGTCTCCTAAGTCCTGATGCCATTGACAAATAATAATACTAAATTACAAAAGGCTATTTCTTCCAAAGTACTTTAAAAAAATGATTAGGGTTGCCGCCCATGAAATCTTTGCTAATTAATCATATGAGGGTTAAAGGTCATAAATTGACATTTAAATGAAGCAGTAGTTTTGAAGAAAGAAGTATTTTTGGTCCTTAAAAGAATCATCCCTCCCATGTGGTACCTCCCATCTACAGTTCTTAGAAGTTGTTGTGCTTCATTATTTCTAGTTAACTTATTTAACTTTTCTACCCAGTGGTGACCCAAGTGGGTTAACAACATTCTTTCCTTCTTCATTTATCTTCTCAACAACCCTGTGCGGTACGTTAGGCTGAGAGTGCATCACTGGCCCAAGGTCACCCAGCAAGCTTCCATGGCGGAGTGGGGATTCGAACCTAGATTTCCCATATCCACACGGAAGGTAACAGCTCAAATTAACTGACAAGACCAAAAAAGCTGTGGATAGACGCTATATAACAGATGAAAATGATATCATAGTATATTAAACATCAACATCTTATGAACAGTGCAAAAAAGTGCAAAAGAAGGGTCCAAAGGTAGCTGCAGTTGACGTTCTCCGGAATAGCATTTCGTTTCATGAGGACTTCCTCTGAATGGAACCACAATAACAATTACGTCTTCTGTTGTTGTGTGTTCATAATTGTATACATGGACATTAATACCAATAGCTTCGCAGAAGTCATATCCTCAATTCTTGAGTTTAAACACAGTATGTTCAAAGTGGGTAGGCTAAACACTGAAGTCATATTTTTAATATGGATGTTATTTTTAAATGGGCAAGGACAGATTGTCAACAGAAGAAGAAAAGGGGAAAAATTAAATGGAAAATCGTCCAGATTTCTCTCCCATGACCCGCAGCATGAAAAATCTTCTGTTTTCTCAGTAGGGCTGCAAGTGAATCAACATCCACCCCTAAACACTCATCCCACTTTATTTCTGGTAGAAAATGTATAATGCTGCCTTTTCAGAGAATCTGCTCAAGGTGGCTTGCAAAATTAAAACTTATAAAGCCGGTACACAAATCATTAAAATTAACAAACTGTTAAAAATTCAGCCAATAAATACCTAGCCAGAACATAAAAATTTGCATAAAGCACTTGGCAGCTTAAAATGATCCTTGTGAAACTGTTCTCAGACTTTAACAGAGTTTTTAATGTTAAAAGAACAAACCTCTTAATTAGAAGTTTGGGTAAAAAACTTCTAACTGTTTTGGCCTGATATCTAAGAGACATTAGGGAAGGTGCCAGGCAAACCTCAAGGGTAAGGGTTTTCCACAGGTGGGGCTCCTCCACTGGCAAAAGCCCCGTTTCTGGTTGCCACCCACCCTCAACCTCTGCAGTTGGAGCACTCGGAGCAGGACTTGTGAGCAAGATCTTCAACTGGTAGGCTGGACTGTATGGCAGGACATGGTTCTTCGGGGAGGTGGCTCTACTTTCTCCCCTACCATCTTTGTTTTCAACAGAAAAAGTCCAAGAAGAAATTGAATTGGTCATTGGCCGGGATAGATGTCCTTCCCTTGCTGACAAGGCACAGATGCCCTTCACGGAAGCCACCATCATGGAAGTTCAAAGAATGACTGTGGTTGTCCCTCTTTCTATTCCTCGGATGGCATCGGAAACTACTGGTAGGTCTTGTGGTGTATTTCTTGTGCCTCTGAGAGGTAGTTTTATACATTACAGAGACTCAAAGAAAGGCAAAGCTTGATGGGCATGCACTGTGCCTCCCTTGTTTCTGTTGTAAGTTGTGAAGTGCATGCTCTGTTCAGGATCTTGGAAGATAGGTTACAGGAAACCAATTCCAGCCTGGGAGATTCCTAGAGATTTGGAGGTGGTGCTATAGAGGGAGAGATTTCACCTAGAATCTATGGTATACCAGAGATTCTGCTATCTAAAACTGTTGCTTTCGTCAAGGAAACTGATCTCGTCTGGAGATCAGCTGCAATTCTGAGAGTTCCAGCCCCCACCTAGAGGTTGGCAACCCAAGCTGTACGTTATGCTACAGTGATGTGTCTTCCCCCCCACCCCAGTCTACATGATCGCCTACAATCTTAGTCTTGCTGTGTCACAGCAGTCTTGAACCATACGTTGGCATCCATCAACCTGACAATTTTTATGTGTAAAAATATCTCAGAAATCATGCAGCATCCTGCAAGATTGATGGCTATTCGGGCGTGCATTCAGACAATGGAAGAACTAGTAATAAAAGCATGCCGTTCCTCATACAAGGGGGAGGGTCAAAAATGTTTCAAGTGCCTTGTGTAAATTTGATCAGAACTCGCCCCCCTTTTAAAAAAAAAATAAAAGCAGCCATGATGGAGGTGTGTCTGTGTGTGAACTGAATCAGGGCTCAGTTTAAAGCGTTGAAGCTGCTTGTGCATAGAAGATAATGAGAAATTTCACATTACCCTTTTTAACCGGTTTCGAAGCCATTTTTGATGCGTCGTGGAGTAAACCGGTATAGGGCTTCCATCTCACACATGGCTTTCCCCTTCCGGTAAAGAGCTGGATCTGAAGCGGTTTGCCATTTTCTCCGCCATTTTTCACCCGCGCGGGCGATCAGCTATTTTTTTTTTAACGTTCGCACTCTAGGCATTCCAATAGGGTTGATATAATGCTTTTGTGCTATATATATAGTGCTATAGCGCTATAAAGCGAACGTTTTTTAAAAAGCCGGAGATTGCCCACGCGGGCGAAAAACGGCGGGAAAAAGCGCATCGGAACTGGGAAAGGAAACTGAAGACTACTTGGAAGCGGTTGACAGGTAAAACACTTCAGCCCCGTTTCCTAAACGGGACAGAAGCATTTGTGTGTGAAATTACAAATATATTCCGGTAGGGAACCGGTTCTAAAATGGTTCTGTCTGAAACGACAGACCAGAAACCGTTTGGGAACCGTTCCTCTTCCGGATTATATCGTCTGTCTGAAATTCCTCAATATGTACATACATGTGTACATATGTGCGAGTGTGTATATTACAGCTTCAGGGCAGAGGTGAAGAATAGTTTCCCCCCCCCCCCACAGTATGACCCCAGTTGCTGCTTTTAACATAAAAGCGCAGGAGATCTGATCATATTTAGCGGTGTCCTATGAGTGTGGCAGAGGAGGGCTTTAGCTTTGGGAACCAAGCCTGCCAACCCCACTTGGTGTGGGGGCACCGGAGGAGAGGGAGATGCCTTCATGGAACTTTATGAGCAAATAAATTGGTCCCTGCAGACCAACACACAGTGGGAATAGCTTATCATCTGTTTCAGAGTGATATGAGAATGAAGGGCAAGGACTATGATCAGGCCAGAGCTCTTGGACTACAAACGGCATCCAGCCCTGACTCATTTTGTACATTGGTTGGTAATAAGTTATTTTAGTAACCCCGATAATCCTCTCAAGATTTGCCTCTGCTGCAGTTATGCTGCAGCTCAGAGCTCTGCAGGGTTGCTTCCCAGAGCTTGCTTGCATCACCCTTTGGCTCTGATAAAGTTTTATCTGCTGTCAAGCTGAACTTGGCCCCGTGTTTACTCAGAAGGGCCAGTACCCTGTGCCCAAGGGCTGTCCTTGGGCCCTGCCACTGCGAGCATGCTTTTCTTCTCCGGGTGTGAGAGTTTTACTTGAACCGTGCTTGGGAAGGATCCGCTCTGCACTCCTGGGGTGGACCAGCCACTTACCTTGCTGTGGGACACTGGCTTAGCGATATCTGAAGAAGGAGGTTTGACTCTCAAAAGCTTATACCTTGGAAATCTTGTTGGTCTCTAAGGTGCTACTGGACTCGAATCTAGCTGCCTTAGAGGGCTGCTGGTGACCCACAGCAGGCTAGGCCAAGTGGCCCCCTGTAGTGGTGGCAGCACTGCAGGGGCTGCTCAGCTGGGACCCGGCCTGCAGCACTGATGACAACAGAGTAGGTTTGTCTGCTGTTATCACTGCCATGGCCCAGGTCTGAGCTGAGCAGGCCCTGCAGCGCTGCCACCATCACAGAGGCCACTTGGCTTAGCTTACTCCAGGATTGTTTAACATCCCAATGTGCCTTGGCACATTCACAGGGTTAAGTACTGGGTTCAAGACGCATTGCAGTGAAACAGCTCTACTTTATTAAGTGATTTCAGGAACAAGACTAAAACACCAGGGCAACAGCCCTGTTTAAATAGCATGCTAAAACCACACCCAAACACACCCAACTCCCAACGATAGGCTATTTACATAACATTAGTTCCTCACTGGTCACTTCCAGAGTCCTGGCGGGATATTGTTCTAGAGCTCCGAGCTCAGCCAGTCTCTGGTAGATAGTCCTGGAATGTTCTTGACCTAATACATAACACACAATACTAAAAGAGAACACTTCAACACTTTTGAAGAGACGGCTTCAAAAGGGAATTAGATAAGCATATGGAGCAGAGGTCCATCAGTGGCTATTAGCCACAAGGTATAGATAAGGGACTCTGGGGCAAGTGATGCTCTGTCTTCTTGTTGCTTGGGGGGGGTCAACAGTGGGAGGGCTTCTAATGTCCTGGCCCCACTGGTGGACCACCTGATGGCCCCTGGTATTTTTGGCCACTGTGTGACAGAATGTTGGAGTGGATGGGCCTTTGGCCTGATCCAACATTGGCGTCTCTTATGTTCTTACTTGTTACAAACTCACACTGGCAGATTTGTGCAATGGGATCAGACAAAAAAGCAAGCCAGCTGAAGTCATGCACTTTTAAGTGCTATGGATTTCAGTTGGATGAAGATTTGAGTAATTCTGTTTGGTAAACATATGATCTTTTTGTTTTCAAAGTGCTCCAGGGCTACACTATTCCAAAGGGAAGCGTAATCTTCTCTAACTTGTGGTCGTTGCACAGAGATCCCAGAATATGGAAGAACCCAGATGATTTCCACCCTGAAAGGTTTTTGGATGAAAATGGCCAGCTTCTCAAAAAGGAAACGTTCATCCCTTTTGGAATCGGTAATGGAATTGTGTTTATAGGGGTGGTACACAAAGATGGATTAAATTTTAGAAATATTTTTAAAACTTTTGCATTTCTGTTGTTAGAAAAATATGGGGACAAACATTGTCTTGGTGGTGTGAGATTTTTAAAATTGTGTGCATTAAGTATTCCTGGAGAAGTCATACAGTCAAGCGTCTGTTTTGCTCAGGTCCAGCTGAGTAACAGAATAAATTCCAATTCCCCACATAATCCCATGCTATAGGTATATCAAATAATATTGCAGAATTCTTCTTTAAAATTTTATTAAGAATACATACATACTAGGAGTAATGCTCATTGTGGGAAGAAATACAACGAGATCTAGAAGGAAGCTCCAGATGAGTGTCCTGATTGTGGCTGGTGGGGCGGCAGAGGGAAACGGAAAATGGAGAGAGGCAAGCCATGTTTCTTCTGCTTAGCTATAAGGCAGGGCTGTCTCAAGTCATTTTGCTGCCGCAAGTGGGTAGAATGGGAGGACAGCCTCATGGTAACAGATATGGTTCTCTCCACCTCTGACTTGTTTTTTGAGGGGGAGGGGGGTGTTATGCAGTGGCAGCTAAGGTAGAAAAGCACCTCCTCCTGTACCACGTTTTCTGGGTTCCAAAGGTCTGGAAAGTGGTTCCATAGCCAATTACACAGTTGCCAACTCTGGGTTGGGAAATACCTGTAGATTTGAGGGGTAGAGCCTGGGGAGGGCAGGATTTTGGGTGGGGAGGGACCTCAGCAGGGTATAATGCCATAGAATCTACTGCCCAAAGCAGCCATTGTCTCCAAGAGAACGGATCTGGGTCATCTGGACATCAGTTTTAATAGCTGAAGCCCTGACTGCTACATCACATTGGCTGTCATACAGGGGCATCTCAGCAGGATATAAGGACACAGAGTCCACCATTTTCTCCAGGGGAACTGATCTCTGCCATCCGGAAAGCAGTTGTAATTCTGGGTGATCTTTAGCCCTCACCTGGAGATTTGCAACCATGGTTTCCCCCAACAGACACTAAGGGGAAATTTATTTTACCTCAGAACATCAACAGCAAACTGTTTAGACTGTTAGAGGGAAAGGCCAGTGAGGCCGCATATGCAAATGACCTCTGTGTTCTGACTGGCTGTGAGGGGGAGAGGAACAGCAAACTGTTTAGAATGTTGGAGGCAGGACTCAGGCAAATCAGCCAGTGGATAGGGAGACCCTCTGAATGACAGATCAGAGAGCGAACTGATTTTGGAGAGTGTTGGAATGTTCAGGGAAGTCCATGACCAAAATAGAATTATATATATCGGAGGATGTGTGTGTATACACACATACACAAAATGTCATAAGAGAAGATTATTCTAAATGGCCTTTTAATAATACTTTGTACAGAAGGTGATTGACCATGATCCTTCAAATATAGTGGGCGGGATCCAACTATCTTTTCTGCTGCTGTAAAAGGAAGGTGGTGTCCTCAAAAAGGCTATCTAGAATACCTGCATGTGGAAGGGCCTTGTGGGGAGGGGGTTGGGAGCAATCTTAAGTAGCTCTCTGCACAGAAGTCAGTCCCATGTTATTCAGTGGGGTTTACTCCCAGAAAAGTGTCTTCAGGATTGCACCTTTGCCACCACCTGTGCTGTTCCTGAGGGTCCACTGACCCTTCTCCTGGGAACAAAATTTGGAGCCCAGCTCTGTAAAGGTTTCCCTTGCTTGAAAGCCAGTCGAATCTGACTCTAGGGGGTGGGCTTATCTCCGTTTTCAAGCCAAAGAGCCAGCACTGTCCGTAGACTTTTCTGTGGTCATGTGGCTGGCATGAATAAACGCTGAGGTGCACGGAATGCTGTTACCTTCCCACCAAAGTGGTACCTATTTATCTACTTGCAATTTCTTGCTTTTGAACTGCTAGGTTGGCAGGAGCTGGGGCCAGAGACAGGAGCTCGCTCCATCATGTGGCACTCGGGTCTCAAACTGCCGAGCCGCCTCTGAGCCACCGCGGCCATCCTGTTAAAATCACTACCACCCTCTTAAAATCATTTTGGGGGTAGCCACTGCTAGTATGACCTTTTTATATCTATTATTCTTTTTAAAGATCTCACCCTAGTAATATTTCATATAACGACAGTCCTGTGCATCACATCAGCCCATCACACCGGCCCTTAGTGTTGCAAATTGTCAACAGTTGAATGGTTTTGGGTTGGTTTGTTTGGCTTTTTGTCCTCCAGACTGCCTTGTTGCAAGTTTTCTTAAAAATGGAAACCCTGGAGAAGACCTTTTCAAGATATATTTCCAAACTGTTTTGAGCTTCTGTATCCTTAGAGCTTTGTCAGTTAGGAAGAGTATTGTTTACACCACTTCTGTTCTACAAATATGGCTCTATACCAAGTAAATGTGAGGTAGCCTTAATGGGTTTATAAGGTAGCTTATGATAAGACCTGTGGTATCCCTTATAAACATGGATTGCGACATGCCAATCGTATTATTGGTGTTCACTTAGAGATGTTTCACTGTTCTCAATGGCAATTTTTTTCAAGGAAAACGTGTGTGCATGGGAGAACAGCTAGCCAAGATGGAGCTCTTCTTGACGGTGACGAGCCTCCTGCAACATTTCACTTTCCTGTTTCCAGAGGACTTGAAGAAGCCACCAATGGAAGGAAGATTTGGTCTGACCTTGGCTCCGTTTCCATTCAAGTTAATTGCCTTAAAGAGATGAAGACACACACCGCAGGAGAATGCTGCATGAAGTTTGCGTTACTCTTATGAAATTTCAGGGCTATCTGTTAAATGCACCTCACTAGCAAAATCACCAACCCTGAGCAGGGATGGGGGACCCTGTCGCCCACAGGCTGCCCCAAAACTCATTGAGCACTTTCCCCTTGGCACGGGGACTGTTGAGTAAGGACTGCGGGCCTTTTGTGGACGAAGGGGTGGGAATGGAGATTTTCAAATCGTATTTGTTGCAGAATGATGCATTTTAAAATAATGGTGCAGAAAAATCTCACTGGTAAGTAGCTTTTTATATTGAATTCTAATATATAATTTAACAGTGGATTCAAAATGGAAAAAAAAATGCAAAGTAGCAGTATATTTGGATATCTTTTTTCATATAAGAATCATGAACATCCTTTTCAAAGGACACGTGGAGGGTGCCTGCAGACCTACTTTAAAAAGAGGACTCGCTGCAGTTTTTCATCATCCAGGTAGAGCCTGGCTTCTGCCCACCTTCACTGTGAAAAGAGCCGAGGTACAGGACGCTGACTCAGTCCTCAGTCTTGCTCCTCCCACCGTACTTCAGGCAGGCTGTCTTTCGTTCAAAACGCAGGACGTGCATTTATTCAATTAAATGTATATTTGTGACTCTCTGCCCCCCCTCCCTTTTAAATCAGAAATCATTTTTAAAATGCTGGAATGACTGGGTTGTCGGAGGCATTGGTTTCAACCAGTCAGAACTGTGCAGAGTTGGCTTCTGGTGCAATCACACACAGAACCAGTTTTTCTTAAACTCAGTTTGGAAGAAGAGATCAAAACGTAAGTTCCAGTGCAGGAAGAGCTCACTGGTCATATTATGTACATCTTTACACACCTGAAATTTGTCTTATGGTATTACTTAAAAGTTGATACTTCAGAGTAGTGACACTTGTCGTCCATCCCCGTCCCCCTCCTTTTTCGACCTGCCTGCATTATAAATTCACTGCAGATCCGTGCTGAACTGAAGCGGATAAAGCCAGTGACTGACCTACAGCACCTACACTGAAAATATTTGAGGATCTGCGTGGGTGCTCTGGGAAACAGTGTTTACATGGTTCAAACTGTACTACTGTGAAGATGGGCAACTTCTCTCACTCAGCAAAACACAGTACAAAACGCACAGAAAGAGAAACCTCACACTTGCTCGTTTTGCTGTGCATGGGATGGATCCTGCCCATGTGTTCTCCCTTGCCTGCCTTCTGCCTTCAGTGAGAATAAGCATTACAAAGGTGAATGCGTGTATCTGCAGCTGGCTTATTTTCCATTTTGTTCATGGATTTTGTTGGCAAGCTTGCAGCCTGAGTTTGTTCTACTCACTGGAGTGGCAACGTGCCCTCTCACGCATTCTTGCAGGCGGTGAGACAACTGCATCAGGGCCATCTAGGCACACAGGCGGGCAAGTCGCCATTTGTGTGCACTCATATCACAAATGCGCATCTCCTAAGAAGAAAATGACCACTGCCAAAGCCTTGGGCTGGCCTTCTTGGTAGGGAAGAACCCACTGCAGAGTAAATATAGCACACCATTTCTAATTCATTGCTAGTTAAAGGAACCGGCGAGCTGATGCAATGGTGGTACAAGTCGATGAATAGACACTGTGCAGCTTTGAGTTACAGTAAACTTGCATTGTGGAGAAGCCTTGAGGGTGGTTGTCGGAAATTCTGGGACAGTTCCTAAAAGACTGGAATCTTCAATAGGAAAGTTAAAAATTGCACTGCTGATTTTTCAGCTGAATACTGTTAAACAACCAGACCAAGAAGCAAACTGCACTGCAAAGCTGGCAGTGCAACTTTGTACAGCATGTATGCCTCTCATCATAAGGTTCCCCTTTTCATGATGCACTTTTATCATTTTTGTCCAGGATCCAAAGACCTGTATTTCTACCTTAGGAGGCAAGAAAGGCCTCGTTAATAATGTATGTAGGTTGCCTGTATTGTGCTGATGTTTATTCTGCCTGCACTCCCCCCGCCCCCAATGAATGTCTTGTTTAGAATTTTACGATGTAAGAGATCATTACCATTTGAAATGGCCATTTGAGACGACTGCTTTTTTGAAAACCTGCCTCTACTTCTACATTCAACCTGAGATCCTGTTCCTCAGTGTGAATCCCTTTGTCTAAATAAACTTTTTATTTTAAAAACTTTACGGTCTGGAAGCAGAATATTTGCTTTTCCGTGAAATGTTTTGGGTATGTTTTACTATGTCCTGACCTGGGTAGCCCAGGCTGGCCCAATCTCCCCAGATCTCAGAAGCTGAAGCAGGGTTGGCCCTGGTTGGTACTTGAATGGCAGTCCACCAAAGAAGTCTAGGGATGCCACACAGAGGCAGGCAATGGCAAACCAGCTCTGTCCACCTCTCGCCTTGAAAACCCTACAGGGTTGTTTGCGACTTGACAGCAAAAAATATGTACGTATCTTGGTGTAGTGCCAGTTTGGTGTAGTGGTTAAGTGCACGGACTCTAATCTGGGAGAACCGGGTTTGATTCCCCACTCCTCCACTTGCTGCTGCTGGATGACCTTGGGCAAGCCGTAGTTCTGATAAGAGCTGTCCTTGAAAAAGAGCAGTTTCTGTCAAGAGCTCTCTCAGCCTCACCTACCTCACAGGGTGTCTGTTGTGGGGAGGGGAAGGGAAAGGAGTTTGTAAGCTGCTCTGAGACACCTTTGTGTGGTGAAGAGTGGGGTATAAATCCAATCTCTTCTCTTCTTCTTCTTATCACAGACACTGGTTTTGGTGTCGTTTCTTACGTGTCACTCCAGACCAAGTACATTTGGGCTGCTGTTTCATCTACAGTGGGGGGACTTCTTGCTTTTCTTACTCTTACATTGGACTGCTTCCACACTGCAACAGCTGGGAAAGATCATACCACAGCTAGTCCAGGAAGCATAAGCACAAACCAGGGGAAACCACAGAGAATCACTGGAGGATGACATTGAATGGATGCCCCAGGAAAACACATTTCATTTTGAGATCCAGGGTGGAGTAAAACTACTGTGTAGAATTAGCCCTGGTGCACCCTCCATAGTTTTCTCAGTGCCTGCCTCCCGTCCCTCTGAGCCTACCCACATTAGGAACATAAATTAGTTTAAAAAGACATTTTCCAAGGACTCCTGTGAATTTTGTGTACCTGTGCTAGGTGAGGAGGTGATGTACTGCGTGTCTCTGATAGAGAATTTTCTGGTCCCATATTATTATTTTTTGGAGGAAACCAGAATGGTTCTAGTGAAATAAAACCAATATTATATTTGTACATCCAAAACTAGTATGTTCTTCTAAGAGTTGGTTTTTATACCCTGCTTTTCTCTTCCTTAAAGAGTCTCAAAGCGGCTTACAATAATTACCATCCTTTCCTCTCCCCACAACAGGCACCTTGTGAGGTAGGTGGGGCTCAAAGAACTGTGACTGGCCCATGGTCACCCAGCAGGCTTCATGTGAAGGAGTGGGGGATCACACCCAGTTCTCCAGATTAGAATCCACCACTCTTACCCACTACCACCACACTGGCTCTCAGTTTTAAATGCTTGTGATTTAGCTGCTCAGACATGGACTGCAATATACCTTCTGGCTAGGGACTTAACCCATCTAGAATGTATGAATATGAAAGTAAGTGGAATCTACCTATTACCTGCCATTCAGTAGACTGGATTATCTGGTGAAGACCATCCTATCCCTTCCCCATTGGGGATTAACTGTTGCTTTCATGTGCTGGTTATAGTTATAACCTTCCCATAGATATCTGGTTGGGCACTGTCAGAGATGAAACTATTTGATGGAACTTTTTTGTTATGATCTGGCAGGGCTCTTGCATGCTGTTTTAGTAACATATTTTAATTGATAACGAGTTTTAAAAACTCTATAAACTAAAATTTCAACTGACTGATGCTTTAGTTCTTGAGCATCCAAAAATGGTCTTTTTTACTGTCTGATTTATTTGGTATCAAAGCAGCCTTTGATTGCACTGTACCTCACTTTCAAGTGTGTTCATTTAGCATATGGATATTAGGTTCATGCTAGAAATTGCAAAAATGACATCATAGAGTGCAATGTATCTCTTTGAACTGTCCAGGAATTCATTACGTTCATGTTAATTTTATGCCAGTTACATAAATATGCTGTCCTCTGGCTTATGGTTCACTTTCCTCCTTCCCAAGAATATACTTAACTTTTTCACCGAAACTGCATAGTTGATCCTGCAAAGGTTTAACTCACTGTATGACTGGAATAAACCTCTTGTCCCCTTTGGTGTTGCAACTGTTGTTACACTTCTAAAATTAGGTTTCAAGAGCTAAAGAGGGCAGGACCCAAGTCTATCAATACAATCCCGTGCAGAGTTACTTCAGTTCAAATCTACTGATATCAGTGGGTTTAGGCTGGAGTAACTCCTCACAGGAATGCACCGTGGTACTAACTCTGTGGCACAGAGAACCACATTCATGATTACCATCAACTAAATAGAGTGAGCTCCCGTCTCTAGTTCCAGCTCCTGCCAACCTAGCAGTTCAAAAGCAAGAAATTGCAAGTAGATAAATAGGTACCACTTCAGTGGGAAGGTAACAGCGTTCCGTGTGCCTTGGTGTTTAGTCATGCCGGCCACATGACCACGGAAACGTCTTCAGACAGCGCTGGCTCTTCGGCTTTGAAACGGAGATGAGCACAGCAACCCTAGAGTCGGATTCGACGGGCTTTCGAGCAAGGGAACCTTTACCTTTTAAAAGGGCCACATGACTACTATGTGCTGCACCAAGCACATGCATACAATAATATAAGATACAGTTATTAATATTATCTGAGTACCTCTGCACATGTAGGGTTGTCTTGCCCCACCAGTGTCGAAGTCCTTGTCTGTCTGGAGTGAGGGGAAGTGTCCCCTCGCTGTCTTTCTGTACTTTCTTCAGCATGAGGCATAGCAGGTTGGGCAAGATGACCAAGGCGCACAGAGATGAGAAAGCTGGCTATGGGAAAGGGGAGTAAAACCACCACCCCTGCCTGCTCCTTGCCTGGGTGGTGGTTTTATTCTCTGCAGCCAGCTTCTTCTTCTGGTACTTGCCCGGGTTCTGGGATGAACATACAGAGGCAGTGGAGAAGGGTGGCGCAATGTTAGAGAGGTTGCGTCCTTTACATCCAGTGC